TCGTGCGCGGCGTGCGTTTAGGCCAAGTGCTCGAGTCCACGACGATCCTTGGCGTCGCGTTGATGCCGCCCCGTTGAGCCAGGCCGCATATGCACAGACAGACACAACCTGTGTTTCAACATTTGACGCATGACCCTCTTTATCGTTACAGACCCGCGTTGGAATCCACCCGGGGCCGACGTCCACGGGGTCACGCGTCGCGAACTTGTTATATTTATGCGGCGCGCTGCTTCGGTTTTGCAGCGTTCTGCCGCAAACAAGTTTGCGACGTGCTTCCTCTTTGCCCGCGACGAGCCGCGTTGGCTCGCCGCGTCTGCCCCCGTCGCCCGCTGGGCCGAGGAAGTATGGATCTCGCATCACCGCCTGCATCGGTTTGCGGTTCCGTTGCCCGTGTTCCGCGGGGTTTGGGGACGAAGCGGTGTGTGTTTCAGTAAATCGTTTTCGATGTGTGCAGTGATTATGGGGTGGAGTGGGGGTGGGGTTTACGTTTAATTTGAATTGGCGGGGTTTGCGCAAAAGGTTTCGGAATTGTCGATTCATTCTTTCCCAGACAGATTACTTATTGAACGCCCCTGAGTGGGCAGACGCCGCCGCCCCATTTTTTCTCGGAGCGCGGAGGTTGCGCGGGGGGCAAATCGGGATACAGCGGGGGTGTTCACTCAGCTTTGGCTGGGCTTTGTCAGCAATCTCTTCGCGCCGTGGGCGTGCACCTCCTCTCGGCCGCGCCTCCGGCTGCTGTCTGTTGGGGGCGCGCGCGCGCCAGACTGTGTGATGCGAGGGCGGAAGGGCGCGAGGCTCCGGCCCGGCATTCTTGGACGAGAGGGTGCCGGAAGGCCCGGGGCGGTGCGATTGCAGGGGAGGCCCCCCCCCCCCCCCCCCGGTATTCTTGGACAGTGAGGTCTCGGAGGGCTTGGAAAGACACAAAAGCGGGGTCTTAAAGACTCTCAGAATGCCCCAAGAGAGCCGGAAAAGTACAAAAAAGACGCCAGATTGGACAATGAGGTCTCAGAGGGCTTGAAAAAATACAACAGTAGGGTCTTGAAGGCTCTCAGAAAGCCCCAAGAGAGCAAATGCGCCAGAAAACTTTAAGAAAGTTCGAGCATGATTTGAGAAGGACGCCTCAGGGCGCGCAAAAGTGTGGACGAAAGGAAGAGGCACGCGGAGAGGCGTACAAACGAGATCCGAGTTAGCTCGGGGGCCTCAAAAGGGACTCCAGGGACCCCCTGGGCGCGCCCAGGACGGCCCAGGAAAGCCCCAAACATGCTGCCAGACGGCCCAGGCCGGGGTCGGGAGGCGCGGGGGACAGCCGCAGAGAGCGCCCGCTGATTCCAACGTGCTTCCAAGAGCCCGCGAAGACGCACGTGAGTTCGAAACAAGGCAAGAATAGAGGATCGACAAGGCCAGAATGGACATGCTCATATGCGTTTTACGCGGTTTCTTTTTGCGTGTTGTTTTTTGTAGTCGAAGTGGGCCGAGGAGAGGTGGGCGGGCTGCCAGGCTGGGCCAAAATGGCTTGGAGGACGGCCAAGATCGCCCCAGGAGAGCGTCTGGAGGCTTCCAAAGCCGAGTCAGTGGGCTCCCGGAGAGGCCTCTGAGAGAGGCCGGCGGCACCTTGAAGACGAACATTTCCAACGGGGTGTGTTCTGAAGCGAAAATGATGGCCAAAGAGCGCTCATTCCGCAGCTGCGGCCCCCAGGCCGGCGGAATGAGCAGGCCGCGGGGAGGGCCCCAGGAGGGGTTGCAAGGGCTCTGAGGAATGTGCATTGGCACGAGGAGTTCGCGCGCGCGCAGATTGAGGGGACTGAGTTCGCGCAGACCATGCGGCGAGGATCTCGCGCGCCGTTCCCGGTGGAGAGACATATTATTTAATCGATTCGCTCATTCCGCCGGCCCTGGAGCCTTCTTTAGGGCCTCTTGGGGACCTCTTGGGGGTCTCTTGGGGCTCCTTGGCGGCGTCTTGGGGGCCCCAGGGCCTCTTTGGCGGGCTCCTGGGGGCTTCTCGGGGCGGGAGGGGGGGTCGTCAATTGCGGCCCCCCCCATCGGAGGCCGCGGTCCTCGTGAGGGGTGTCGAAAAATTGCCCCGAAAACCATCTCTGACCCGAGTCTGCCGGGACCCTGCTGGTGTACTTTTCGCCCAGAGACCCCCGGGGGGCCGCCCCGCGCGCGCGAAATATAATATTGTTAAGCAGTTACCGGAGATCTTAGCACGCCTCTGGCCCGTTGGGCCGGCGAATTTTGCGTACTTGTTTGCCGGGCAGAGACCCGCCGACTTAGGACTTAGGCTGCGCCATGAAGCATCGTCCCTGGCTTTGCCAAGCGGCGTCTCATGAGCGTGCCGACGCATTGAAGGGGGGCTTGAATTGGGCGGGCGACGTTTCCCCAATTTCTTGATGAACTGTCTTAAGCCGACCAAATCGAGCGGTATTGTGATCGAATGGGGTCCGGAATCTTCTGAGTCGGCTACTGGAAAATTCGTTCTTCGGGGACGCGTTCCACGACGGGCTTGGTTCCGGAAGGGTGGTGAAGAGAGTTGAACCGTGCCGGTTGGGCCTTCTCATTGCGGAACCGTTCTAAGCGTTTCGACGCCGTTCGTGTTCGGGGGTTTGTGCGGGCCCCCAGTCGGCACACGCCTCAGGCGGCGGAGTTTCATGGTTATTTGATTGGTTCACAGTGGTCCACAGATCCATGCGACTTGTGTTTCGATTGTCAGGCATGCGTTTGTTCTCGTATTTTGCTGTGGGCAGAACAGTGTCCACACAAGAGGGCGCACGCTGGCGTGGCCCAGGCTTGTTTGCCTACCATGAAGAGGTGCCCGGCACAAAAGGTGAATGCGCACAAGTCTGTTGATGGGGCCCGGAGATGTGAGGGGTGCCTGTTTTCGTGGATGTAATTGCGTTTGGTAAAACTGCCGTGTTAATTCACCCGCGCCTAGCCAAGAACGGGGGGAACATTCAGTTCGTTTGTTGAGTTTTGCCCGGACTGTCGCGATGTTGGCGGCTGAGCTTAAGCTTCTGTGGCCTCGACTTGGGGTGGGGCCAGACACGCAGCGTGTGAACACTCAGTCACCATTTGTGGCGCCCGAAAACAAAAACACTGATTGGGGCATGCCCGGTCTTGGACCGGGCGTTGTTGGCAGTGTTCGTCGTGTTTCCGTGGGCACAGGTCGACCGTGAAACTTCCCAGGAACATTCGCCGCGGTGGAGTTGGCGTCGGGATTCGTGGCTTCGATACTCTTGCAGCCGCTGCGCTGGGGCGCAAGATGTTTTTCCTTGTTGCCAGCGGCGGCCGTTTGTGTGTGTGCTTCGTGCAAATGTTGCACGGGCGGAAGTCAGTTGCGAGGTTTGAGGATTCCGCTCCCCCCGGAGTCTCGCCTTTCCCCCATCGGAGCAGGAGGAGCCCGGCGCTCGCCAGCCGAGCCTTGTGTCCAAAACGCTGCGATGCGTGGAGGCGGCGGGCGACAGTCGCACTCGCGCTTCTGCCTCGGCTGCGGCTGCGGCTGATTCAGGGTTGGGGTCGACTAGGGGCTTCCGTTTTGGGGTTCGCTTGGATTGTCTTCTTGGGCGCGGCGTCGCGCCGCCCGCGCGTTGGCCGTCGGTCAGCCAGCGGATGAGCCACCCCTTGTTGTCGGCACGGATTCGCGCCGCCTGTGCTCTTGGCCGTCGGTCATCCAGCGGGTGAGCCACCCCGTTGCCTGTTTTGCTTTCAAGCCCCTCGGTGGGCTCGCTCACCAGATTTGGAGTAAGGGAATGCGTGGTGCCGCGCAGGCAAACAAATCTTTCTTCGCCTCCCCCTTCCTCCTCCTCCCTCCTCCCTCCTCCTCCTCCTCCTCCTCCTCCTCCTCCTTTTCCCCCCTGGACTGTGCACGCATACAGCAGATTGTGCGCGTGTCGGTCCTGGCACTGCGTGTCATTGATGGGGATGTTTTCCACGTTCAATGCTCCTCGCTGCGTCCCCGGCACTTGGGGCCGTCCGTCCCTTCTCTTGGTGAGTGCACTCCTTCTCTCCTGGCCGAGAGGATGGTGCCCATGTCTCCTTCGTCCTTCTGCTGGTCCTGGTGTGGGCCGGTGGCCTTCCCCAAGCGGGGGTCGCGCGTGGGTTGCTCGTCGCTGAAGTGCGGACATCCTGTCATTTCGAATTCACTTTGTCCGCTCATGCAGGGGACGCCCACGAGTTCGGGCCAGGCGAAAGTCGGGACTTGGAAGGGGCAGGGGGCGGAGTGAGTTTCCTCTGCGTGCAGCTACCTTCGGCTCGGCCGCTGGGCGCGTACCCTGGCACAAGTTTTGTCCGCCTTCGGCGCCCGGATGCGCCCCTTTGCCACCCCCTGTTCTTCCAGCAGTGGATCGCAACACTCCCGTGCACTTCCGTTTCTCTCCTTGGTTTTCCTCGAGCCCTCGCGATTGGTGCGCGCGAGCCCTCGGCGTCAGGAGGGCTTGCCCCAGAGTCGCGCGGCGACGGACGATTTGCCTGCCGTCTTGGAGGTCTCCAGGGGCAAGGGCCAGGCCCCGAGACCGTCAATCATCGATTGGGGTGAGAAGCTGGTCCTTGGAAGCAGGTTCAGGTATCTGGGGAGCCACACCTTCTGACGATAGCACGACGCCCGATGTTTGGGGGCAGCAGGGTCCGAATACTGGCCCATCGTGGACCTCCGGGTGACCCTCGCCGCCGTGACGGGCATCGCCTCGGGATTTTTGGTCAGAGGGCACGACAGGAGAGATACGGGGGCCCCGCTTTTGTTGAAAGGGGGCGTGACGGCGTCACACTCGCCAGCAGTATCGCCGTCGTTCCCTGTGGACGGGTTCGGAGATTCTCAGGTGACGGAGAGTCCCGCCAGGCAGAGGTTGGACGTTAAGGTGGTCGTCTTCGGATGTTCGTATGAATTCGGACGGCAGGTGTCAGCGACCAGTCGTCGTCGTTGCCGTGAAAGGGTCAACGTCGTGTGCGTCCTTATTGTGGTCGTCGTCCTCGCAGTCGTCGTATACGTCAACGCTTCCGTACCGCAGGACGGTGGGTCAAGCGGCGTCCTCGACAACGTCGAGGTCATGCTCGGTCAGGACTTGCTTGCGGCTTGCGTCTTGTTTTGTTCCCGTAGGCGTGAGGGACGCTGGCGAGGATCACAACTTGCCACTCACTGTCTTTGTTCGACCCAGTTTTTTGTTGTGTGAGTGGACATGCCTGCGGTGAACCACCCCCGCCCCCCTGCTTTTTGAAAGTGTTGATGTGGCCAAACGGTGAGCCAAAAAGCTTGGACACGCTAGTCACGGTCGTGGAGTTGGATCATATTAGCCGATGTTGTGAACCTATGCTGTTTCTCTGTTATCCCGTGATGTTGGGTCCTCGTTCTGGATTAGTTGCCCCCCCCCCGGTATCTTTCCATACTTCCTTTCTCATCCCTTTCCTCCTTCCCGCTCCCCGCGTGTCCGCATCGTCGTCGTCATCATTATTTCTCATCGCCATAATCAGCATCTTCGTCGTCATCCCCGCCATCATCATCGCCCTTCCTCCTGCTCCACACGCACCAGTGGCAGGATCCGCAAGCGCCGCTGCCGACGCCAACGCCGCCGACGAACGTCGACGACGCTCGGCCGACTTTGACGTCGCGGAACCGACGTCGATGTCGCTCATCCTTCTATGGGTCATGATGCTTGTAATTCGAGGCTCTTGCGTGTAATTCGATGGGCTCGCCCACCTGTCCGCGTGTTCTCACTGGACAGACGAGCGAGCCCATCGAAACACAGGCTCTCGTGTGCCCGTTGGTCGCTATGTGTTCAAATTAGGTCCCTCAGCATCCACGCGTTCGCTCGCAATTCCATGAGCGACGGCGACGGCTTCGACGACGGCCGCGACGTCGCATATCCCACATTCACAGAGTTCTTCCATGTATCTCTTGCATTCCAGCCAACGGGGACCCCTAAACAGTGAGTTACTGCATTCGATGCGTACGCGAACAGGTGTACGATATGTGGTGCGAGATGCTGCGCATGTATGTGCAATCGGTCGCAACATTGGGTACGCCATCGGCCCCACCATCGTGTCTACGTGTTGTGCCCCAAGACGACCCCAGACATCTCCAAGGGCCCACACGATTGCCCCACAGGAGCCAAAGACAGTCCGAAGACGGCCCAAATGAGCTCCACCCGAGCTCCTCAAGAAGTGGATAGCAGACGGATCACATGTGGCAGCTTTCCTCTTCCTCCTCCCCTTCCTCCTCCTCCTCCTCCTCCTCATCACAATCATTGTCGTATTCGTCGTCGTTGTCACTCGAACAGCTGCCTCGCCTCGCAGACGGCTGGGCTGGCGCGGTGTCGGGTCTTACCGCAGGCAGCTGGAACATATGATTCAGACCCGATGGCTCTTAACATGCCCCTGGCCCAAGATATGCTTAGACATGAGTCATGAAACATTCCCTGGGCCCCTGTATGCCTCCAAGACGGCGCGACGGCGGGACTTTCCGCAGGCAGCTGATGTGTTCGGGCCGAACTGTCGTACGCAATGTTCAGAACGGTTCGGGACCTCGGGGCGTTTAGAACGGTTCGGGACCTCGGGGCCTTACGGCCGGTGCCGACGACCCTGGACGACGAGCCCCACGATGGAAGAGGCATCCGTGAAGGTCAAGATCAGACGCTTCCAAGAGTGCCCAGAAGGCTAGACGAGGCCCCCGAGGTGTGCCCCAGAAGGATTCTCCACGAAGCTCTGGTGTCTGCGGAGCCCTTTTAAAAGCCTCCTGGGGCTTCCTGGCGGATCCTTGGGGGCGCCTGATGGCCTCGTGAGGGCCTGTGGGAGACCTCTTGGGCCCCGGGACCCCTCGGGGGGGAATGGTATGCTGACCGGGGGCCCCGTGCCCCCCGCCCAGGGGCTTCCCTTCGACTCCACTGCGACGTTGCTCAATTTCGCTCAGGCTGTTCCGCTTGGGCTGGCGCGCGCAAGGAGGAGGGCCCAGGGAAAAGGGGCGAGCGGCGACGCCGACGGCGACAAGGACGACGAGGGCGACGACGACGCCGAGTCAAACGAAACAGCCTCTCGCGCACGGCCGACAGGGTCGGCGGATTTCAGATTCACCAGGCCTTAGCGACCCGCCGTCGCGGACGCTTTTGAAACGCCCCCCCCCTTTTTTCCCCCTCGTGGTCTGGGCTGGGCGCCCCACCAAGTGTCGGGGCCGCCCGGGATAGGCCTCTGCCTGGATGGCACCAAGGAGCGATTTTGAGTTGAGGGGCTCCCCAGAAAGGAGAAGGGGAAATGGCAGGACCCCCGCCCGCTGACCAATGGCCTCCAAGATGGCCCCAAGAGGCTCGGCAGGGCCCCCAAGAGGGCCCCACCAGAGCTCCAAGACGGCACCGAGACGCCCCAAAAGCGGCCAAAAAGAGCGCCCCAGAGGGCCGCAAGCCTCCCCGGAACGGCGCCATGAGGGCTCAACGACGCGATTCGTGAAAGCTCCTGAAGGCGGACGGACACATAGGACCCCCCTCTCCTCTGGATCGATGGCCTCCACGCAAGCCACGACCAGGGTTCCCAGCAGGGCCCTAAGAGAGCTCCAGGAGGATGCAGCAGGAGGACGGAGGAGGATGGGCGCGAGGCCTCCACCCTCGACCGCAACGACGACGACGACGGCGACGTCGACGCCGACGCCAGCTCCGTGTTCCGATGGGCTCGCGCTTGCGCGTCCGTCGCTGTGCGTTCCCAGGGGCTGAAGCTGGCGGAAGAAGGGCGGCGGCGGCTCCGCCGACGCCGATGCCGGCAACGCCGACGACGACTACGACGACGATGTCGGCGTCGGCGTCGGCGGAGCCGCCGCCGTTTTACCTCTGCGAGCTCTGCCCGGAGGGAACGCAAAGCGACTGACGCGTAAGCGCGAGCTCATCGGAACATAGACCTGACGTCGTCGTCGTCGTCGACGCGGTGGTCATCAAAGTCGGCTTCGTCGTCGTCGTCGTTGTCGGCGACGTGTGCCAGCGCTTCTCTTGGCAACGGGGTCCAGTGTCGGGACCCCCTGGACCCCGCTGCGAAGAGAGGCCCGGCACATGCTTTGGGAGAGGTATCGACGATGCCGACGCCGACGACGACGACGAAGATTACGACCACCATCACCACGTCGGCGACGATGACGGCGACCCGAACGACGACGACGCCGCCGACGCCGACGCCGAATCTGACGACGACGACGACGATGACGACGACGACCACTACCACCACCACCACCACCACCACGTCGACGATGACGACTAAATGCACGACCACGACCACGACCGGCTCGACTTCGTCGCGATGTGGGAATATTATGAGGCAGTTCTGAGCCTGAGAACAAGGGTGACCAAACCGTCTCGCGCATAGCCTCATTGTGCCAGAAGCTGCGAGAGCGTGTGAGGCGAAACTGGCTGGACCATCTCGCGCGCGACATTTCAGAGCCCAGAGTTGCGAGGATGTCTCGGACGAAAGTGGCTGGACCACCCTAGGTCAGGTGCGAGGATGTCTCAAGACCACCTCATGGCATGTTTGCGAGGGTGTATTAGGCGAAGTTGGCAGGACTACCTTGCCTGCGGCATCTCACAGCCCAAAACTGCGAGGATGTCTCTGGCGGAACTAGCTGGACCGACTCAGGTAAGAACAATCCGAAGCCTGGAGTTGCAAGGATGTCTCAGGCGAAACGGGCCAGACCGCCTCTGGTCAGGGCATTTCTGAACCCAGCGAGGACGTCTCAGGCGAAACTGGCTTTTCTTTTCCTCTGGCGCAGCATCTCGGAACCCAGAGTTGCGAGGATGTCTCTGGCGAAATTGGCTGGACCATCTGGCAGTCCAGAGTTGCGAGGATGCCTCTGCCGAATTTGGCTGGACCACCTTCCGCGCGGCATCCTGGAGCCTAGAGCTGCGAGGATGTTTCAAGCGAAATGCTGCACGACCACGCGTGCGGCATCTGGGAGCCCAGAGTTGCGAGGTTGTCTCAGTCGAAACAGGCTGGTCTCTCTCTCTCTGGCGCAGCATCTCGGAACCCGGAGTTGCGAGGATGTCTCTGGCGAATTTGGCTGGACCACCTCGCGCGCGGCATCTGGAAGTCCAGAGTTGCGAGGATGTCTCTGGCGGAATCGGCTGGACCACATCGCACGCGGCATATTGGAGCCTAGAGCTGCGAGGATGTTTCAAGCGAAATTGGCTGCACGACCACGCGTCAGGCATCTGGGAGCCCAGAGTTGAGAGGTTGTCTCAGGCGAAACTGGCTGGTCTCTCTCTCTGGCGCAGCATCTCGGAACCCAGAGTTGCGAGGATGTCGTTGGCGAATTTGGCTGGACTACCTCGCGCGCGGCATCTGGAAGTCCAGAGTTGCAGAGTTGCGAGGATGTCTCTGGCGAATTTGGCTGGACCACCTTCCGCGCGGCATCTTGGAGCCTAGAGCTGCGAGAATGTTTCCAGCGAAATTGGCTGCGCGACCTCGCGTGAGGCATCTGGGAGCCCAGAGTTGCGAGGTTGTCTCAGGCGAAACTGGCTGGTCTCTCTCTCTCTCTCTCTCTCTCTGGCGCAGCATCTCGGAACCCAGAGTTGCGAGGATGTCTTTGACGAATTTGGCTGGACCACCTCGCGCGCGGCATCTGGAAGTCCAGAGTTGCGAGGATGTCTCTGGCGGAATCGGCTGGACCACATCGCGCGCGGCATCTTGGAGCCCACAGTTGCGAGGATGTCTCAAGCGAAATTTGCTGCGCGACCTCGCGTGCGGCATCTGGGAGCCCAGAGTTGTGAGGTTGTCTCAATCGAAGCTGACTGGACCATCTCGTGAACGGCTCCTCGGATCCCAGAGTTGCGACAATGTGTCGAGCAAAACCGTCTGAACCACTGTAGATCACTTCAGGTTAAGGCATGTCTGAGCGCAGAGTTGCGAGGATTTCTCTGGCGACATTGGCTGTGTCATCGTAGCCCGGCTCGCCCTGGTCCCGGGTTCTTGTTCTCCCTCCCTCTCCCCCTCTCTTTGTGTTCTGCAGTTGTGCACAGCCTTTTAGGCTTAGGGAGCGACTCACCTTGGAGTCGCTGAGGTTTCCAGAGTGAGCACAGAAAGGTACGTTCGCCCTCCC